CTCTCTCTCTCTCTCTCTCTCTCTCTCTCTCTCTCTCTCTCTCTCTCTCTCTCTCTCTCTCTCTCTCTCTCTCTCTCTCTCTCCCCGCTGCGGTTGTACTGTCTCGGTCGGCCTCCAGAGAGATCGGTAGCAGCTCGCGCAGAATGCGTTCCCTGATCTGAGTAACTGCTTTCCTTCTTGGCCAATGCCTTTCTTGCCAGCTGGTAGATTACATCAGTGTCGGTGGCCAGCGTGGCACATGCAGGCGTGTGACAAGTCACCTGCCGGCAGCCTAGTTGTGCAACTATCGAAGTTACGACATGGTGTCACCAAGTAGCGCGTCGATCCATCAAGCGGGTATTGAATCTGCTTCGGTTCGGCCGACAACGCATGCGCGTATGAAGCACGGGGGGCACATCGCACGACGAACATGAGCCTCCAGGGTGCAGCACAAGCAGGTAAAATGTTCTGCTCTGGTGGACCTTTTTTTTTTTTTTTTTTTTTTGGGAAACTGTGGTGGAGATCGCGCTTCGCCAAACCGCTGTCGACCCCAAAAAGAAGAAAAAAAAACCGCTCTCGAATTTTATTCGTCTCATTCGTCTCATTCAGTCTGGATTCGAGCTGCCGGATGGCATGGGTGTAGTACTGTAGTGAGTGAGGCCCATTGGTCAAACCGCTCTGGAATCGAGAAACGTCGAGTCAATTTTCTTACTTACGGCGTGCTCACACGAGCACTCCACCCCATGTATCTGACTGGGAATTCAGCCAGATCTCGACGCATGTGACCGGTATTGGGTCCAAGGCGTAATCGGAAATGGACTACCATCCTTTTTTTTTTTCTTTTTCTTTTTTTCAGAGGCTAATTACCAGGCACACAGGGATCACCGGGAGCGATGAGCCTTCGCAGTCCTTAGGGTCAGATCCCACTACCCTGGATTATTCATTTTTCACCCTCGATTACGAAGATCAACGGTCAGAAGTGAACAATAGGGCTAGTGGGATCTGGCCCTTAGATACGAGGTCACCTCCCACCCTACCACTCATCAATACTCCCAGCGTACCCTCCTCACAGTACTCATCACATCAGTGTGCAAAATGTATCACCGGCAGGGGGCACTCCTTCAGGACGTCCGCTAAAATTGGGTTGGATAGGATCCACCCCAGGGGCAAGGTCCCACAGGCACGAATTAAGCCAGATATCAGCAGCAACCAGAGGCACAAAGAGGGGAAGGAGGAGAGGGAGGAGGAGGAAGAAGGAAGACAAAGAGAGACCATGTCGCCAACGCTACTGTATTATCCAAAAAAATAATGGTGATGAACAAGAAGTGGAAACAGAAGCTCCCCCCCCGGCGCTGCGTTACCACCCTACCGTTTTTTTTTGTTTTTTTTTTTAAATCACAGCTTATATTATAAAAGTAATTAAATGAGGCCGGGAATCCCTCAACATCTCAACCCGGTAGTGAAGCTTGTGATGGAAACCGGGTCCAGCGTCCCATGGTCTCTGCAACTACCAAGAAAGTGAGCAACTGGAGCCTGGCCGCCAGCCAAGGATGGGCCTCGCAGCACTACCCTCGAAATGTGCAAAACGAGAGTGAGTCGTCCGCTAGAATATGGAAAGATGCACGGCCATAATGTTTGTCTTTTGGGCATGTCAAGAGTCCTTTTTTTTTTTTTTTTTTTTTTTTTT